TATATATATATAAAATAGAACAGGGAAGATGCCTCAGAACAGAAAATAGAATCAGAATAAAATAGAGAATTTTCATAACACAATTCAATAGAACAGTTGAATATAAAATGGGGTAGATTGAAAATAGATCAAACAGGATTTAGCCCTGGGATAGAATAGAATAGAATAGAATAGAATAGAATAGAATAGAAAGCAGCACAGAAGCCTGTGAAGAGTGTGCAACAGTTTTCGGGCAGCATGGGCACAAAGCGTCTCTGCAGGACGATTCATTTAGAGGGAGCAGCGCAAGGGAAGTCAGCCAAGCCCCCAAACACAGCATCACCATTGGGAGAGAGGGGACATAGGACTTTCACTCCGCAGACGCAGCATAATCCAGCCCCAGGAGGTAGGCAGGGGCTGATGAATAAACCCACAGGCCGCTGTGGCAGCTCAATACAGTCATGATTATGCCTGCAGAACAGCCAGTCCTGGCCAGCTCTGAACATGCCAGCGTGAGACGGAGTGGGCATTTGGTTTTCCGAAGGAGTCAGCGGAGGAGAGGAATCAATACACAGAGGGAGCACTTATACACATACACACCTTCATGACTCGCTCTTCCTCTTCTCTTTTCTTTCTCTCCTCTTCCTCCTGTTTCCTCTTCTGCTCCATCTCGGCTTTCCTGATGGGAGAGAGATTGAGGGTGGACCGTTAATGAGTTACACTGGCCTGCGGGGAATTATTCCTCCTGATCAATGACCCACAGGAAGGGACGTGAAAACACCCACAGGTTGATTCACAACTTTCACAAAGAGAAACGTGGACTGCATCGAGTCTTTGTAGTTCAAGTGAGACCCTTCAACAGCAGCTGAAATTGAATAGTGTGGTCTGAGCATTGTTGGCGAGCGTCGTTACCATTTTCATATCAAAAGACCTATATATATATTATACATCTCACAAACAGCCAACAAAATCTGCTGCATCTTTCTTTGTACTTTGTTGTTAATGGATTTGGGTACTGATATATGCAACTTTGCCAAACTGAAGACCTTGAAAATAGGGAGATTTCTAAAACATAAGCATGAAGAGGGGGGATGGAGGGTACAGTAATGATATAATTTCAAGTGAATGTTTTGCTGCTCACAATAAAGGAGTGCAATTTGCATTACAGTGGGTCCAAAAGTCTCAGAGCACTGGATTTCTTCTAATTTAAATTTACATTTACAATTTACACTTTTGCTTTAAAGAAAGCAACATTTGAGCTGAAATAGTTGAAATGTCATAGTAGAATTAGCATCTGTTTTCTATATTAATATATTTTAAAATGTAATTTATTCCTGTGATGGCAAAAGCTATTCAGCAGCCATTACTCCAGTCTTCAGTGTTACAGTTCTAATCTGCTGATTTGGTGCACAAGGAACATTTCTTATTATTATTATCAGTGTTTAGCTGCTTAATATTTCTGTGTAAACTGTGACTCTTTGATGAATAGAAAGTTTAAAAAAACAGCATTTATTTGAAATGGAAATCTTTGTAATAATATAAATGTCTTTACTGTCACTTTTGATAAATTGAATGTGTTATTGTTGACTAAACTAATTTATTAAAAAAAAGCACTTTTGAATGGTAATATCCTATTTTTATAACTAATTTTACAGGACATCATAATCCTAAAACTTTATTTCCAGTTGTAACTTGGATTTTAAATACCAGATTCTCAAAGTTTTGTACCCTACTGTATATGAAACCCTCGATATTTAGTGAGAGCCATCAAAAGAATGAATGCAATTCTTAACATGTTATTTTGTAAAATGTCATAATTGTTAATGTATGTAAATAAACTTTTAAAGGTTCGCTTTAAAAGCTTGTATTCTTACCTGGCCAGAAAACAAAGAAAATTATAATATATTTTATAAGGGGCAGGTTCAAATTCATAATGGCACAGCAGACAGCATTCTTAAAAAGTTCTCCATACAGAGTGTGCAAAGAACTTAAGGGTAATCCAAACCTTTAGTTGTTGTTAATGTATGTTGACTGGAGTTGTACAGCAAAATGTTGGCTCTAATAAATGTATGAGGTAAAAGCAGGCCACACTGAATGATATTCTCCATCACATTATGACAATGGGATTCTGGGTCTTATTATTATAAGATATATTCTATACTGTACTGCACATACTATTTATTATTAATATATTATATACTATACTATATATAATTATTATATTATTTAACATTATTGTTACATGACATTATCATTAATAATGAATAATGAATAAATAACTTGTATAAATGGAGCAGCCAACTGGCTATAAAGCTATGTGGTAATCGCATTTACGTTACATAAAACTAAATTATGTAATTTAATTAAAAAGTTAAACAATTAAATCCAGATAATTTAGTAATCCATAAGGAAGGGCTCCAGGGTGGATGGGCCGCACCAAACATAAAGCATGCAGTGGGATAAAAGTTGCTGTTGTTGCATCTACTAGTGTGGAACTGAATATTCTTTGACAAGACTATAAACATAGAAATATCATCATGGCCTGATTCGTGAAACGATGACAGATGCTGTCCAAGACAGCAGGCTCTGGAGAATGCATAAGAGAGAGCAGGTCAAGCCGAACCCTCCAGTGATGTATTAATCTCTCTGCCAATCCCCTCCCACACCCTTTTTTTCAGCTCCTGTTCTTCTTTCAAACGCGCTGGGACTCTGACCTAATGTACGGTTCATCCGATTCGAAACTTGCGACGTGACTCACATGCGGCGGTCGTCTTCCTCCTGTTTGCGCAACTGCTCCTCTTCTTCGCTCCTCTTCCGCTCTCTCTCCATCTCCTCCTGGATGCGCTTGAGTCGCTCCGTCTCCTCTTGCTCCTGCTTCTTCTTCTGCATTGAGGAGAGGAGCTGCTCTGAGCGTTTCACCAGGCCCTCATACTCCTGCTCGATCTCCTTGCGGCTCATCACCGTAGACTGAGGGTAAAGTCAAAAAGAGAGTGTTAAAATGGATTTGATTTAAATTATTTGGGTTATATATATTTTATGCATATTTTAGTTATAATGTCTGCTCTGCTTACATATGAATTAAATTTTACAGGGAAATGTTTCAGACTCAGTGATTAAAACTGGTAACTCATCTCTTTGAGCTATTCATTAAAAGAATTGGCTCATAAAAGTCCTTTGTTTCAGGAATCGGGCAACACTGGTCATGCTGTATGTTTGTCATTCGCTAAAAAGAAGAGGCTCTTAAGAGTCACTTGTTCAGACATGGTCGTGTTGTGTGTTGAACTCAATAGAAATACAAGACCTGTGTGACTTCCTTTCTTCTGTGAAACACAAAATGAGAGCTTCAGTTTTCAATACAGCAAAAAGTAAATGTTGATTTATACTGCCAAGCTCCAAAAGGGCAAAAAAAAAGCTCCATTAAAGTATCTTAAAAGTGTTCCACACATTTGACTTTACAACGACAGTGATTACTTAACCACACCCACAGCTTTCTAAGAGCGAGTCAGCTTGCTCACTGATGTGCATGATGATTTTGGAACTAATTCCGTAAAATGCTGTTTATCATTGTGCAAAAAGAAAACATTTGTTTCAGGTTGTTATGATGAAATCTAAATATAATGGCACAATACGAGAAATGGCGAAATTACAAGGGGAAATCTACACAAGCGTCAAGAAGTCAGAAAAGCGCTAATTAAACTGTATCACTTTCTAAAAATATCCACCATACTGCATTCTACTATTCATTTCTTTTGTGCAAATGTAGAGATGTATTGCTTTTGGACAATCATTAAAAATCTGCAAGTTTAGTTCATGCTGTCTACCACTCATTCAACACTTGTATTTTCGCAATCCCAATATTTACCAAAAAAAAGGAGGCTTGTATGTCACCGATAGTTTAGTAAGTCTGACAAACAAAACTGAATAAAAAAAGACAGCACAGCAGTTTGATAGGATTTTTGGGTTGTCAGTCATTTTATCTGATGTGAGGTCAGTTAGTATGATACAGTACCAAGCCTTCTAAAGTCATAATGAAGGAGTGGATGCCCTCCTCTTTTGTTATATAATGAATAGGGAATAATTCAATTGGAAATCGTACTTTTCTTAAATCCATTGCATCTATTCTGGTATTAATGTTATATTCAATGTCTGTATTTGGTATTTGGGATATGACCAAGAGTCTGACCCATTCATTTAGCCCAGCTTCCAGAGAATAAAAGATGCAATTGTTTGTAATTAATTCATTTGATTCATCATGCAGTCAAATGAATCAAGAGTTCTAGAGTGTGATGTTTTGTTTTATTTGTTATCTATATGCCTATAATACTAGTGTTTCTGTATTCTAAATTAGAGGCTAGATTACTCATTTTCTATGGCTTTTGAAAGTGTGGAGAACTCTGACTTCAGTAAACTTTTAACTTGACTCCTGTTCTTCATTGAAACTTATTTGTCTTATGGGGTAAAACTGTGTTCCCTAACAATACAATAGTTTTTTGTGAAGAACAAATTGTTCCTGTTACTCACCAAAAGTATTGTCACTTGAGCTTGTTTGCAACTAAATAATAATGCTGTTGGTAGGGATGCTCCGATCGATCGGCCGGAGATCGGTATCGGCCGATAATCACATTTTATGACTCGATCGGTACTTACTACACTTGGCCGATCTCACGAACCGATCGCAATTTGATGACGTCAACGCTTGACAACGTACATGATGCGTGGGGACATAAATCGCCGGTGTGGAAATGCAATGACGTTTCGAGAAACAATGAAAAATTTGCTATTTGTCAGATATAGGAAAAGCAAAATATGAAAATATGTTTGCTGCGTAAATCAGACGGACTTACTGAAAAAGCAAATTCTCTGCCAGCAGGAGGTGCTTTAAAGCGGGAGAAACAGAGGTTTTGATATTGTGGCAAGCGCCACAAATAAATAAATGTATGTGAAACACATCCCACGTACTCAGTATCGGCTGCAAAAATCCTGATCGGAGCATCCCTAGCTGTTGGACATATCAAGGCAGGTTTGACATCCCCGATGGCAAACACCATTGATTTCCATATGTATTTAAAAACATGACTGCAAATGAGATTTTCAAAGTGAGGGGAAGATTTTCAGTGAATAACATCTTCAGTTTGATCTGTTGGTTATTGTTTATCACGAGAGGTCTTAGTGTTTGTCAGTTGTATATTTGACTTATTTTTATACTGTATACTTTTTAAAGCTTGACAGCATAAATCACTATCCACTTTTGTTGCATGGAAAACAGAAGCTTACACATTCTGCCTAAATATCTCCTTTTGTAATAATAAGAGGCTGGAATAATATTAGGGTGAGTAAATGATGACAAATGATAACAGGACAGGCCACTTGGTTGAACTCTACAGTAGCGTCTTTAAAAAGCTTTTCTTCTGGTGCTTCATTAAACAAATTTGAACAAGGGTTTCACAAGAAAGTGGCAGCAACTCCGTGGTTACCCATCAGCTCGGCGACAGCAGTGACGCTGGGCCACATTCACCGCAGTTGTTTTAATATCCTGCAGATATTCATTAAACCTGGATGTGAATTTTGTGCCATCTGGCAGAGCACCAGAGGTGCGTGGAGGGGTGCAAGCATTGTGAATGATCATTGTTCCGCAGAGGGGTGGGGACTCAATGACAAGGTCCGTCTCACCCCCTAACGCTAGATGAGTTCGCGCTAGTGTGTTGAATGACAGCCATTGATAGAACAATCTACGTTATTAGCCAGGGAGGCCACAGTAATCTCCAGTCCAGATGGTAAGGTAATAGGAGGCATTGCCAATCAAAAACCACATGCTAATCAAAACGTGCTATGCTAATAACAAAGAGGGCTATCACGGGTGCAGAAGTGCAGAGCGCATCTCATTTAAAGGGAGGAACAGAATGTTCAGGTGGAAAAGTTTCAGCTCTGGTGCCAGCTATCTATCAGGGAGAGGGCGCAATGTCTCTCGAGCTCCCTGTCAATAATGCACTCCGAGTCTGACAGATGAGGTTGGGCTCCACGTACAGAATACAACAATGCATATACTGCATTCAATCAGCCAAAGCAGAAAGTTCGGAGGAAGGCAAGAAATCAACACTAGAAACGGCATAATGCGGCAAAGCCTTGAAAATCGACTTGACAGCATGTGGTGCGAATGTCAATGATGATCTGCAGACAGAAATCTCATTGTCGACTGTCGATTTGCATACTTTGTATTTATTTACTCTGCTGTTGAGTGCTAGATTTTCTGCTGAATGAGATGAAACGCTTCTGCTCTCTTTCTTTGGGCCCTAAGAACTTAAGAAGAGAGACACTTGAAGCTGGCAGACAATTCTAGCCACAGCTTTAGATCGCCTTCATCAGGACATGGAAAAACACACACCTGTTGAAATATGCATGGAAACCGATACACGACAGCAGACTAAGAAAAGAGCTACACCATGTAACATCATTGTGCTTTGTGAGCTGAAGGAGGTGAAAAGGGGTTTGACGACCTTGGGCGGTTTTCCAGTGGAAAACCTCACCTTGATTTTGGTCATGAGGGCGTCGGTGGAGGCGGCCAGTTCCTCAACCTGTTTGCTCACTTCTTGTTTTCCCTCTTTGAGTCCAATCACAGCTTCATTGAATTTTTCCATCCTCTTCCTTAAATTTTTCACCTTCATCATGCCATCAATGCTGCCATGAGAAAAGAGAATAGGGTCTATTAGTTTATTCAAAAATACATATTTTGTACACCTCTTCAATGATATCTTCAATGTACTTCTATATTAGATCTCATTTTGATATTTTGGGTCATTTTGGGAAACATAAAATAAAAACTAAATATCAAGTTGTTTTTTTTTATTATTTATTATTTCTTTTATTATACTTAAAGGAATACTGACTTTAAAGATTTTTATCTGTCCAGACAAATTAATTATAGGTAGGACACTGAAAATCTGGATATATTTTATCCAGTTCTTGAAAATCTGGATATATTTTAGTAATAAATTATCTACATAAAAAATTTGGAGCTCAAACTTGATTTTTACTCCTATTTTGAAGTTACTGTACTCTGCCTTTGCATTGTCAGCAAATAGTGAGAAGTCACGCCAAGGAAAAAGGCAGTAACAGCCACATTATATACAATATTTGATTGCTGATGACCATTTACAAAATCATTAGTAACACCTGTATAAAATCGAGTGATCACGGGCTGTCTCGTAGGCTATAACATACAGTAATGTGACTGTATTTTTTTTTTCTGATCGTAACAATCAGATAAAAAGTTAAACGTGAGTGGATACCGTTTTGCAACCAATTTATTTGCAATGTTCACTAACGTTAAAGAATGCAAGACATACTTAACCTATTGCTTTTACATCAAATTGAATGAAAATAGCCTAACTAAAAGAACGACTTGTGGATTGATGTGAACGCCAACAAGTAGGAATAATGCTCAGAATGCTTGTGGATTAAACATCGCCGATGACGTTCATTGCCATGGATTTTATTACAGCTTGATCTGGCCCACTTTAACGGAGCCACTTACTAACAGGCATGCAAAGCAAGTCAAAAGAGTTTACAATAAGGTTTCATTAGTTAACATGAACTAAGCATGAACAATACTTCTACAGCATTTATTAATAATGTTAATTTCTACATTTAGTATTATGCCCTAAAAAGGCAAAAGACCTTAACTTGCTAGAGTGTGAAACTGAGAAAAAGTTTTTTATTTGTCCAGCCAAATTAATTATAGGTAGGACACTGGAAATTTGGCAATTAGATGTTTTAGTAATGAAAATTATCTACATTAAAAAATTGTGAGCTCAAACTTAATTTTTACCCCTATTTTGAAGTTACTGTACTCTTTTTCTGCAAAATGTGAGGTCACACCAAGGCAAAAGGCAGTAACTTCCACATTATCAATATTTGGTTGCTGATCACCATTTACAAAATCATTATAGTAACACCTGTATAAAATCTAGTGATCATGGGCTATCTCATAGGCTACAACATAGTAATGTGACTATTAATTGTTTTTTTCTGACCGTAACAACCAGACAAAAAGTTAAACATGTGAGTGGAGACCGTTTGGCAACCAATTTATTTGTAATGTTCACTAACCTAAAATGATGCAAGACATAGCCTAATTGCTTTTACATCGAATTGAATGAAAATAGTCTAATCTAAAAGAACAATTTGTGGATTGATGTGAACGCCAGCAAGTAGGAATAATGCTCAGGATGCTTGTGGATTAAAAATCTCCGATGACGTTCATTGCCATGGATTTTATCGGGTTACAAGAAAAGGTAGGATATGGATTTAATTGCGAAATCTACTGATTTTATGTGATCATGCTATGCTGTCACGGCGTTCGAGTCCACGCGCGTGCAGAAGTGGGCAGCCCCAGACTGACATGCTGGCACTAAGAATAATCTGCATTATAAAAAGAAAGAAAAAGTTTAAAGATTATTTATGATTCATTATTGTAGCCAAGTTATCTAGTCTTTGCTTGTTTACAGTGCTTTGTTATATGGAGCAGTTTGGTAGATCGCGATCTGTCTGCAATTTTTTGGACAAACGAATTAGATAGATGTATGAAATAACACAAGCTATACTGTAATTTAAATGCGGCAGACTTTAATGGACAGTAAAACAAAGGCAGAATACCGTATAACTCCAGGCTGGCACAGTAACTTCATATTGACGCACGGCTAAACAAAGGCAGAACACTGTAACTCAATTTGAGCGTTCTAAAGCTAAGTCAAAGAGCAGTAACTGGAGTTATACAGTGTTCTGCCTTGTTTTCTCCTGAGCTTTTCGAAGTTACTGTTAAGATAACCCATTATGTTCTCAGAAAAAAAACAACGGAATTGACTCAAGATACTTATCCACATAATAAAGGAGGTCTTGAATGTCTCAAAAATATCAACAACTCATTTTTTAACCAAAAACGAAGTTACAGTCTTTTGCCTTTGCACAGCAGAATAGTTCACCCAAAAATGAAAATGTGCTGAAAATGTCCTCAGCCTCAGACCATCCAAAATGTAGATGAGTTTGTTTCTTCACCGGAACAGATTTGGAGAAATTTAGCATTGCATCACTTGCTCACCAGTGGTTCCTCTGCAGTGAATGGGTGCCGTCAGAATGAGACCAAACAGCAGATAAAAACATCACAATAATCCACAAGTAATCTACTCAACTCCAGTTCTTAAATTTACATCTTGTGAAGTGTAAAGCTGTGTGTTTGCAATAAAACAAATCCATCATTAAGGATTTATAACGAGTCCATAATCCATAATATCCCTTCCTGCAGTGAAAAACTGTATCCCCTGTTGTCCTCTCACATCAAAATCCCCCAACATATTCAGACAAGATGATTGAGACTATACTTTTTCACTGGAAGAAGCGTTATTATGGATTACGGTTTGAAGATAAAAACATCGTAATGAAGGATTTGCTACATAGCTTTTCACTTCACAAGACATTAACTGATAGACTGGATTAAAGTAATACCTTTATTAGCTGTTTGGACTCTCATTCTGATGGCACCCAATCACTGCAGTGGATCCACTGCTGAGCAAGTGATGTAATACTAAATTTCCCCAAATCGGTTTCGATGAAGAAACAGAAACTCATCTACTCATCTTGGATGGCCTGAGGGTGAGTAAACTTTCAGCAAATGTTCATTTTTGCGTGAACTGTTCCTTTAAGATTGTTTCAAGGTAGTAAAAATGTTCGATTTTTCTTGAAAAAAAAAAAGTATAAAAGCTTTTCAAAACCATATGAAGCAAACATGAATACAAAGAATACATTTTGCAATACAATTTCAACTAGATTTTTAAAAGATTTTTCCAATAAACAATTCAGATATTTCACTGACAGCTTTCCAAAAACACCAAATAGATGCTAACAACACAGAGACACCACACTGCCATAAGTGTTGGAAAACAGATCCTCACACCGAGTTTGCAATGCATGAGAAATCACGGTCACTAATAGAGGCATGCTGGTGTGTGTGTGTACATACCGAGGCTTGTGTCTTCTTTTGCATAGCCACATGCGAACAGTCTTCTGAATCTTGATGCAGGCACTGGCCCTGAAGCTCATTTTGTTCCTCACTGTGCCAAGTAAAAGAATGAGGAAGAAGATGTAACACTGTAAAGGTGAATGGGAGGGCGTGGGATGCTTCTAATTGCTTTTTTGAAAGGCAGTTTACGGTGGTTATGAAGGGTGACGTACATTTAATAACTGACAGTGTGCACCACTGGACCTTTTTCCAGCGGCTGCACACCAGCCACTTATTGACCCGCTTTACAAGCTCGGCCAGGTGCTCTGGATCAGACTTCATGATCTGGTCAAACTCTGCAAACTGAGGCAAACACAGACACGCATTGAGATTTATATAGCTGAATTTACGAGGTTCCCATGTGTGCCAGCTTAATGAAACAGTATAGCAGTTTTAACAGTCTTGTATTATTCCAACCCTCATAAGAAATATCATAAGAAATTATTACCTTCCCAGGGCGGAAGAAAACCCTGGTCAAGCCAAACTTGTAATCATTCTTGTTGAGGCCAAGTGCTTTAAACAGAGCCTGCAGAAGGAGACAATACAATCAAGACAGCGGAATGCGTACTTTATTAAATGCCTATCAGAGATCAATAAGAATGGCATGATGGCCTCAGGCCAGTGCTTACACTCTTCTGTTTCAATGATGTTACATTTGATGTTTTCATGCCTTGGAAACTTAAACATTTGGTTTTCTGTGCTGTTTTTAATATTATTGCAAGAGTAACTTGTGAGTTAGAATCAGAATGATTTGAAAACAATAAACAAGTCAGTAATGTTTTCCGACTTCTGCCACTTTGCAGCTGAAGTGTTTATGAAGTTTGTAGCTGTTAAAGAGTTACATTATAGTGGAAAAATTTCCAGCTGGTATTGCAAATGAAAAACACAAATAGTTGTAAACCGTTTTAAAATGACATTTATAAAGCAAATATGTTCCTAAAATATGCTAATCCAAACTAAATGCCTGATTTTTCATTATCTAAGTAACACATTTCTAAGAATTAGAAAATAGACTTTTAAAAGACTTTTCCTTTCCAATGAGCCAGTAAATAATTCAGATTTGTCACTGACAGCTCAGAAATACCAAACAGATCCAAAAAAAACATGACCACACTGTAACCGAGGTAGTAATGTTTTGCAACTTATACCACTTTCCAGCAAAAGTGTTTATGAAGATTATAGCTGTCAAAGAGTTACATTATAGAGGTAAAGATTTCCAGCTGTTGTTGCAAATGAAAAACATAAATTGTTGCAAACAGTTTTTTGGGTTTTTGGGGAAAAACAACATTTAAAGAAAAATATAAATACATTTTCAGACATAAAAAAATGCTCCTAAAATATGTGAAAATCCAAAATAAGGGCCTGACAGGAATAAAAAAAACCTATTGTTAAACCTTCATTATACTCTAGACATTGCATTACAAGCATGATGCAATCATCAAAATAAAGAAGTAATTTTCAATAACTGCAATCAATCATTAAATTGCAGCCTGCTCATATACTGTATTAGTGTAGGATCTAATTGTACATTTTATGATGAAGTAAATACTTTATATTTAACCACGGGTGTATGATTAAAATGCAATTTGACTTTCAAATGCATCTGTAACTACCGATGATAAACCACTATCATTTATCATGGAAATCAATGAGGGATTACTCTGTGTGTGCTTTGGCACATGGATATGAAAGGTCATATAGCCTTTTCTAAAAATAATCCAGCTAGCCATCATCTATCATACTAATCCTAATTATATACACAAGAACATCATGTGAATAACAATAAGAATAGAAAGAGCTATTAATTTTAGATGCAAATCAAGATCAAAAACAATAGAGGTTTACTTTGCAAAAGAGTCGAGGATCAAGCCTTGTGAGCTTGTTGGGCATGTACTGCTTGTACATGTTGTAAAGCTCGTGAAACGGAGCTCGGGAGGGGAAGCCACCCTGCATCAGGTCCAGCACTGATACCATGCCTGAGAGGAGAAGAGATTATATTATTTATAGTCAGCATGACAAGACCTTTGACTAAATGGTGTAGGATCTGGTCTACACTGGACCCTTTTCGCATATGCAGGATTGAAACAGAAATAAACTACAGCAGGATAAAATTTTAGAGGTACACTGTCATTCAGAAGCAAGTTTTTAAAAAAAATAATAATTTAATGTATTTTTTATACGTTTTTTATGCTCACCAAAGCTACATTTATTGAATTTTAATGACCTATTGTTAAACCTTCATTATACTCTAGACATTGCATTACAAGCATGATGCAATCATCAAAATAAAGAAGTAATTTTCAATAACTGCAATCAATCATTAAATTGCAGCCTGCTCATATACTGTATTAGTGTAGGATCTAATTGTACATTTTATGATGAAGTAAATACTTTATATTTAACCACGGGTGTATGATTAAAATGCAATTTGACTTTCAAATGCATCTGTAACTACCGATGATAAACCACTATCATTTATCATGGAAATCAATGAGGGATTACTCTGTGCGTGCTTTGGCACATGGATATGAAAGGCCATGTAGTTTTTTCTAAAAAATAATCCACCTAGCCACCATATATCATACTAATCCTAATTATGTACACAAGAACATTAGGTGAATAACAATAAGAATAGAATGAGCTATTATTAATTTTAGATGCAACGATCAAGATAAAAATAAACAATAGAGGTTTACTTTGCAAAAAAGTCGAGGATCAAGCCTTGTGAGCTTGTTGGGCATGTACTGCTTGTACATGTTGTAAAGCTCATGAAACGGAGCTCGGGAGGGGAAGCCACCCTGCATCAGGTCCAGCACTGATACCATGCCTGAGAGGAGAAGAGAAGTACAGAGTATTATATATATATATATATATATATAGGAGTATAAACTGGGACACTTAGAACTTACTAAGTAGTACTTACTTGCTACTAGGCAAGTACTGTAGTTGATGAGTCTACATTTATGTCATGTGGTGCACGACTAGTCAACAAAGGTCAAAAGTATCGAACTAATTGGCTAGGATATACTTTTCTTATATCTCTTGCCTGAAAGTTTATTTCTAAAACTTTGCTAACAGCCTATAAAAAGCAATAACCGCAACCTTCAAAAACTCTTGTGGTAATCAGTGGAGCTCACATTTAATATGGCCGCACCATAGGCAATATCGGGATTTGTTTTAAAACGGAGCTTGCGACTGATGAGTGCTGTATATTTGTGACAGGTTTTCTTAAATTGAAATATTTGAAGCATTACCACAAGTGCAGTGAAATGAATTGGGAACTTATATTGAATTTTAATGCAGTAAAAACAGTAATATTGAGAAATATTATTACAATTTAAAATAAGTTTTTTAAATTTAATACATTTTAAAATCTAATTTATTCCTGTGATGGCAAAGCTAAATTTTCAGCGGTCATTACTCCAGTCTTCAGTGTCACATGATCCTTCAGAAATCATTCTAATATGTGACCCTGGACCACAAAACCAGTCTTAAGTCACTGGGGTATATTTGTAGCAATAGCCAAAAAAACATTGTATGGGTCAAAATTATCGATTTTTCTTTTATGCCAAAAAACATTAGGATATTAAGTAAAGATCATGTTCCATGAAGATATTTTGTAAATTTCCTACCGTAAATATATGAAAACTACATTTTTGATTAGTAATATGCATTGCTGAGAACTTCATTTGGACAACTTTAAAGGTGATTTTCTCAATATTTTGATTTTTTTGCACCCTCAGATTCCAGATTTTCAAAAAGTTGTATCTCGGCCAAATATTGTCCTATCATAACAAACCATACATCAATGGAAAGCTTATTTATTCAGCTTTCAGATAATGACTTTCAGATAACGACTAACTTGTGACTGGTTTTGTGGTCCAGGGTCACATATGCTGATTTGGTGCTCAAGAAATTTTCCAATTATTGTCAGTTGAAAAGAGTTGTGCTGCTTAACATCTTTGGAAACCGTGATACTTTTTTCAGGATTCTTTGCTGAATAGAAAGTTCAAAAGAACAGCATTTATTTGAAATAGTGAATAAAACGTCTGTAACATTAAAAATATCTTTAGTCACTTTAAAATAAATGCATCCTTGCTGAATAAATGTTTTTTTTTCTTTAATCTTACTGACCCAAATGTTTAAACGTTAGTGTAAATGAAAGACAATATTTTCGGCAACAGCAAATAAAATAAAAAATAAACACTATTGTGTTTCTACGAAATTGCAAAAGAGGAAGAAAACAAAAACAGAGATAAATTGCAACAATCAAAAGAGACAAAGACGTCAAATTTACAGCCACTTGCTTAGCAGCTGTATTTTAAAAATAAATAAATAAATAATAATTAATTATAGCAGCATTGACTTTTTTTGTTTGTTATTAAATACCAGGATAATATATCTTACGGTGTTAAATATATGCATTAAATCATTTAACAAAATAAAATATAAAAAACAATAGCTAGATTTACTTTTTTGCATCATTGCACAGTCTGTGAAAAGGGTCCATACAGCATATTCTGGCCAAGAATGGCCAACTTAGACAGCCTGACATGCAAAGCAAACAAGCATATTTTGTTCATTTTAATGTGTCACTTTACTAGTGCCATAAATCAGCAACTGTCACGTTGCATCATTTGCTGTGCCGCCTGGTTTGCGGCATGCATTAGACACACTCAGTAATAACCAAAACAAGTGGCCAACGTTTTTAAAATGAGTAAATAACCCATTACTCACTGTACTGCGTAGCTTTTCCAGTAGAAGGTTCAGTTGGGTCTATGAAAGTTAATCAGAAATTAAATGTGAGAGTGAGTACTGTACATTTTAATTAAGAGTATCTTTTCGTAAAAAAAAAATAAAAATCAGTTTACACACAGTTGTAGAATTGTGCTGCCATGCAAATGGTATCACACATTTTGACACACACAGGAAGTTACAGTCATACATTATGCCGGTATTAGTCCAACTGTGAAGATCTTTTCTACAAATTCAGTATATAATGGTGACATAAATGGCATGGTGATGTGTTTACAGTGAAGGTTCTCTTAATGTATAAATTCCATGTGTATGATTTCATGACAAACAACTACAACAGAGACCAAAAATGTGGCAGCCACACTGGCACAAAGACATGGCAATGGACCAAGTGGGTGAAAGAGGTTTGAAGAGAAGGGTGGGAGAAAACTAAGATCTGCATTTGTTTATGAGGTTGCAGGTTACCCTGTGGTGCCGGCACTGAATATTTCAGCCAGGCTTACCCTACAAAAGCTTCAGTTTTTTCACTTTTTTTCCTTGTTTCTCTTTACATATTTATTTCAGCCCCAGAACTTTTCACAGGGAAAGGCTGAAGAAACAGGAGAAGGTCTAAGAGAGGAAGACGGAGAAAGGGCAAATTTTAGAAGGAAAGGAATTAGATCACCAGGTAAAAGGTAAAACGTCTCTCACAAAACTACCAAGAGGAACAAAAAGAAAACAACATAGCAAGCCCCACAAAACAAAATCTACAGCGGTCTAAAGACAAACATTTGAGGAACTCCTAATCTGAGGAAAGCCTGTAGTTTTGAGACCTTAATTTTTTTTTTGTCCTATCTTCAGGCCTGTTAACAACTTTGATAAAATGTGTCACCTGACTATCAGGAGAATAGTAATGTAAAGCTAAAGGACAGATTCACCTTGAATTTGTTTCCCACACTGATAAAGCTGAGTTTGCCAGCCTTCTGCTTTGAGTCCTTGGAATTGGAGTTGTTCTCAAAGAGATCCCGGACAAACTTGTCCTTCGACTCGCACACCAGGCTCTCCAAAGACATGTGGAGGGCGTCATTATTCTTCTCTACAAACTGGGTCTGCTCACACACATACACCATACACACACACAAAACCCACAGGGCACAGAAATAAACACAAAGTCAACCTCACAAAAAAACCAACAACTTTACCAAAGGGATTCCCCCAAGGCCCCAATTGTTTTTACAGTGTGGCAGAAATTAATTAACTTATGTTAAACATTGTCACGTTACAGAACTAAAACAATAAGATGGTTTCCATACAAAAAGGGATTCAGAATGAACTAAGTGAATTGGGACCTTACAGTCTCATAGCATACAGCGCCAGCAAAATGTCTTATGATGAAGCCTTCATCATCTCTCAAATTCCGGTGGATTGTAAGCTTTGACTTCCTGGGCACCTGAAAAACCAACACACACAGAATTAAATTTTCAGCAAAATCCATCTTTGCAGCTGTATTTTTACTACTTCCTTCATATTTGGGTCTTGACATTGATTGGACTGTCAGGGTGAATCACATTAAAAACTACCAAGAAATGCCCTGGTCATATTTAACCACATAAATCAAAAGAAATAAAGTAACAAACACAATTTTACATAAAGAAAATGTAGCCTAATTATGCATTGTGCCATTGCATTTTCAAGCACATTAAGTTTCAGTAGCCTAATTTAATGCCAAAAAATATACACTATGCATATTTGTAGTTTATATTTAATTTAATGTATTATTTAATTTTAGCATAAGACATGTTTGTTGTAATAAGCCACATGGAAATATTTAAAGGGATAGTTCGCCTTCAGTTGCTGGTCCCCACTGACTTCCATAGTATGGAGAAGAAAAAAAACACTATGCATGTCAATGGGGACCAGCAACTGAAGGTGAACTATCCCTTTAAGGTGTGAATTTATTGCTAAACTGTAACATATTTGGAAACAACATTAGTATGGATAACAGGATAATGATGCTTCATCCAATATATTATTTAGGATTAATGATTAATGGAAATAATTGCTAATTTAATTCTTATAACACAACATTAAAAATCAGGAAAAAGGCCATCTTTCCCCACTGTGGTAAGATGACTCCCTATCTAGGGCAAAAGAGCCCCCCTACGTACATAAAAACACATTTTTATGATTTTTTTAAGTGTCAGTAACGTGAAATACTAAATTAAACATTCTGTAACATTCAAGTAAATGTATGCATTTTGACAATTTAGTTGAATAATTAAATAATGACAAATCAGATGAATCCCAGACAAAGAGATACATCTGAATCTTCCTCTAAATATTAGGCTACTCTTTAACAATCCCTTAAGATATGTACATGTTGACACTGAAGGTCAGATGAAAATGCAGAAAGTGAAAAAACTGACCTGTGGTCCAGAACGAAGGATAAACTATTAACTACTGAGGGGCAGTATGAAACTATCCTGCAGGCTGGTGGTTTAAGTTTTTTTTCTTTGCTATACTGTATTGGCTGTTGGAATGAACCAAACCATATCCTACAGTGAGACGGAAGTGATCTTTGTGCTTGCTGTGAACCGCCTCTGCAAAGTGCTGATCACTAGGCTGGGGAAGACGGTTCTCCTCATAGTAAATGTATGCATTTTGACAATTTAGTTGAATAATTAAATAATGACAAATCAGATGAATCCCAGACAAAGAGATACATCTGAATTACACTGTATATTTTTTGAATACAGGCCTATGTATTCAATTAGCCTATAGGTTATGATGAATAATGAGGATGTATGTAAAAAAAAGGCTGGGGAAGACGGTTCTCCTCATCCAGAATATCCAAAATACCCACCAGCTTTGCCTCAACCAGATCTGCAAAGCAGTAAAGTCACAGACAGAAGTTTGGGACTGACGACAGAAACTTTTCATGTGAATGAATTTGAGTTGAATAGTAAATTAATATATTCAATCCCCCCGCCGAAGGTATTACCCAAAGTGAAGTAGAACTCAGCAAGTTTAATGGACGAATGCAAATTCTGTAGGCACACATGGACCTATTTGATAATCAGTGCGAAGGCATCCATCATATGCATAATTCATCAGAGACATGCGCAGGTGAGAGAGGTGCGGATGCAAGCGCAGTCATGTATTTGCATGAGCAGACACCCGAGTATAATTGTGAGGTGATTGATGAGGAGACATGCAGGGAAAGGACCTATGCGTCCATTTGGAAGTCACAAGGACATGTGTTGCATCACTATCGAGAGAATTAGGAAAAGCAGAGCTGGCGAAAGGAAAGTGAGTTTTTCCCTTTGGAAAAGAAGTGACATCTGCGATATGCAAGGGTTTTTGTGCCTGCTTTTTGCGCCGCTTCAGAAGTGAGATGTTATGTTAAGCCACCTGCATACTGTGCAAACTCACACAAGCCGTTAAGATTTGACAGCTTGGGCAAAAAAAAAAAAAAAAAAGAGGGGGGGGGAAGAGAGACAGAAAATCTTTCTAAACCGTTTTGAGCATACAGGGAAAACATGCCATATGAATAAGGCACTGAATTGAAAAGATCTCCAGTAAACGTTATGCAAAATTCCCATGATCCATCTTCCTCTAAATATTAGGCTACTCTTTAACAATCCCTTAAGATATGTACATGTTGACACTGAAGGTCAGATGAAAATGCAGAAAGTGAAAAAACTGACCTGTGGTCCAGAACGAAGGATAAACTATTAACTACTGAGGGGCAGTATGAAACTATCCTGCAGGCTGGTGGTTTAAGTTTTTTTTCTTTGCTATACTGTATTGGCTGTTGGAATGAACCAAACCATATCCTACAGTGAGACGGAAGTGATCTTTGTGCTTGCTGTGAACCGCCTCTGCAAAGTGCTGATCACTAGGCTGGGGAAGACGGTTCTCCTCATCCAGAATATCCAAAATACCCACCAGCTTTGCCTCAACCAGATCTGCAAAGCAGTAAAGTCACAGACAGAAGTTTGGGACTGACGACAGAAACTTTTCATGTGAATGAATTTGAGTTGAATAGTAAATTAATATATTCAATCCCCCCGCCGAAGGTATTACCCAAAGTGAAGTAGAACTCAGCAAGTTTAATGGACGAATGCAAATTCTGTAGGCACACATGGACCTATTTGATAATCAGTGCGAAGGCATCCATCATATGCATAATTCATCAGAGACATGCGCAGGTGAGAGAGGTGCGGATGCAAGCGCAGTCATGTATTTGCATGAGCAGACACCCGAGTATAATTGTGAGGTGATTGATGAGGAGACATGCAGGGAAAGGACCTATGCGTCCATTTGGAAGTCACAAGGACATGTGTTGCATCACTATCGAGAGAATTAGGAAAAGCAGAGCTGGCGAAAGGAAAGTGAGTTTTTCCCTTTGGAAAAGAAGTGACATCTGCGATATGCAAGGGTTTTTGTGCCTGCTTTTTGCGCCGCTTCAGAAGTGAGATGTTATGTTAAGCCACCTGCATACTGTGCAAACTCACACAAGCCGTTAAGATTTGACAGCTTGGGCAAAAAAAAAAAAAAAAAGAGGTGGTTTCTTTTGCAATACATACGAGGAAGATCTTCAATAAGTCGTTAGGCGTTAAAATACTGACCGACTAAAAAGGTAAAAGGCATTGGTTCTGATACCTCCAGACAGCACTGTTCGGTCTGGTGATGGTATTTGCATTCAGTGAACCGGGTGAAGATTTCACTGTGTGTCCTGAGATTGAACTGACTTTCTGTTTCTGACAGGGTGATTTGGGTCAGACTGCACTGCTCAAGTGATCACCTTTAAAGCCGGCATCAAAAAACTAAAACAGTGCGAGCTCTTCATCTTATCTCCTAAACCCTCTCCAGAGAGCTCAAGAGAGGTTTCTCCCAGGATTCATTCCTGTGTTATCTCAGGCACCCAGCATGGATTTCTGCTGGAATATTCATCTTCGGCATGATTTGTCCAGACAGCAACAGACATGGCGATGTATACAAATAACTATGTTTTGTCATCTGGGAACAGTTTTTTGACCTTTGAAGGTCAGAATTTGAGAAGAAATTACATTTGTGCTGTAGCACATTGGGTTTAGAGACCATAGCATTTCTACGTGCGGAGGACTTCATTATATTTAAGTTGGTGTCAATGGGCCATAGTGCATCCCGTAATGAATGGAATGGAGGAATGACATTGTTATTCACAGCCAAAGGGACACTGACCTATGCAGTCCTGATTATCAACATAATGAACTTCATTCACTCCCAGGCCTTCTTTCTGATACAGCTCTTGCTCCTGGGGAGAAAAAAAAACAACAAAAGATAAAGTGCATCGTTTTTGCTGAAAGTGGGAAAATGCTTAATTTTAACTTAATCTGCTGGAACAAGAACGTCTCAAAAGAAGTTAAACTGGAATCATTAAATCGGAACAGTTGTGTGCTTGCAAAGAAAAAAGTATACAGATGAAATGGCTTCATGCGTCAGTTTTAAGAAGGGCATAGTTATGATTCACTGATCAATACTACAAATCCCAATAACACTGATGACTCACCTCTTTCAGTATACGTTCATTAAAAAACTGCTGCAGCTTTTCGTTACAATAGTTGATGCAGAACTGCTCGAAGCTGTTGTGCTCAAAATACTCTGAACAGGAATATAAAAAAAGCATTCTGTGATTCATGCACTAGGTATATCTCTAAAAGCATTTAACAGTTACACTATTTCAGAGACACCGTTAGTGAGAGCTAACTATCATTAATCCTACTGCATATTCTCAACCTTATTTCTGCATAAGACAAGCTAATAGCTAATGAATCACTTCGTCTGTTATATTCAATGACTCATATCCCATACCAAGTTTATTTTAAAGTTTAGCATTAATGGAATATTCCAGGTTAGATACAAGTTAACCTCTATTAACAGACAGAATCTGCTGCTGTCAGTTACAAAGGTACATAATTTCAGTTCGTAAAAACCAAAAAAAATAACAATTTTTACAGTTAGGCACTTGTAATGGAAATATGCTTACTCCATAGACATCTACTGTATTGCATGGACATGGATTACCTCATGGACTTTAATCACAAGTGTATTTTTATTTTTTAGCTCTTTTTAATATATTATTATTATATTTAGAAATTGTAAGTGCATTTCTGTCTTTTTTTATCTTGATTTTCAATCATTTTTGACAAATAATTTTGACATCTTAAATAATATTTTTTTCAATAACTTCACGCAAGTCAAAATAGCTCCGTATCTACATAAATTTTTAAAAATATGTAATTAAGACGAATAATCATTAAATCATTAAATAAGGTTGTCTCATATCTCATATGCATCTAGTTGATATGTTTGAACATTAAAGAACCACTGAAATCAGTGTTAAGGCAATGTGACCCGTCCACTGCAGATATCACACAGCCTTACCAAAGCCAGCGATGTCCAGCACGCCGATGAAGTTGGAGGACGTATCAAAGGGGAAGCACTGGTTGACCCGTTTGACCACATGATCAAAGAGCCGGCTGTAAACGGCTTTGGCGAGGGCATCGCGGGCATTGTTGGCCTGTTCCACCTTCAGCGGCACCCTGGAGAGGAGCAAAGTGGGACAGGAGGAGTCAAAATCTGGGCCAGGGCTTTTGCTAATGCCACCTCATCAATACATGTCCATTCTGTTTTACTTCGTCCAACTTTGCACTCTTAAGACAGTTGCTGTTTTACCACTCCAAGCAAAATGTGTAAATAAAACACTTTAGGGGAAAGCAGAACGCCAACGAGAAATAATTTGGAGTCAAAATATAATTTATTTTCCTCTCAATTCCATTATGATTGCAAATGCTCAAGGCTGCTGAAAAAAAATCTTCTCTAACTTTATTTGACCTGACAATAGAGGTTTCTACAGTTAGACAGAAGACAAACGAATATAATTAAAGCTGCTACAGACTAAAATTTTAACATTAGTGAAATTGTTTGGCAATGATGTACAAGAGATCTTTTTTTTGGGGGGGGGGGGGCTTGTATTTATGGGGACGAAGGTAAATTGGGACAATTTTCTGCTCTGCAGAGTGCTGAAAGAAAGTTCTTGTTTTTTTTTTCTTCCAAAACTGACAGTTACATGAGTCCCCCAAAGACCACTATTCCTAAAACTATGCAAGAAAATATGTTTATGGCATGCAAATAACTGGGTCTAAACGGCCTAGACTACTTTTAACACAAAAACATCCTTCATGACAACATCTTCCTTTTCTGCTTTGTTGTTCATCAAGTGTATAAAAAAACAACTTAATGGTTCTCCTGCAGATTAATTGCATAATTCAACTGAAAACAGTACAGGGAAGAGGTTCAATTCGTACTTATTTTGCAGTGGTAACTTTGATAAATGTATACACATAGAACAAACAGCACTTGAAATCCCGGTGAAGCTTAAAGGGCTTGAAATGGAGCAGCACAGCGATATTACATGAAAACACAATAAATCTCTATAACACACGCCTGTTAAAGCAAAGCAGCTCATAATCACAAGACACAATGGCTCCCCACTATCCTCAGGAGGCATACGGAGACCAGTGAACTGAAACTCCAGAACTGGATGATAAAACCTTCTTCGCTGTGGGAATACCTGCTGTGTGACTCTTATTGCCTGCACAGTTAATAAAAGCTGGACCTGGCTCACAATAATCTCTACGATCTTTAGTCTGCGAAATTGCTTTTCATTAACTCGCTTTTATGCTATTAGTGTATTCCCTCCATAGCATGCGTGTCGAGAGGCTGCTGCGCTCTTCCTTCTCAATGTCACCTGCTTTGTTGCGTTTAACTGATATTTAAAAATCACAATACACCTCTGAAATGAAGCTCTGTCAGGCACAAGCTGCTGCCCTCTCCGGTGTTTAGCAGTGTGAATTGCAAGGGTCAGTGTAGCCTTGTTTGAATACAGTCTCCATAATTTTCCATAAAACACATACTGCATATGTACGTGGTTGTGCATCTGTTCGCAGTCAAATGAGGAGGGCAGTGAAACCTCTTGCGACTTTGATTCTCATCATACCTAAAAGACCCCAGGCCACTCCCTCAGACAAACATCCATTATTCATGCAGTGCAAACACTCCCAGTCTAGCATCTGTGCTTGGTTAAATATTAATCCACCGAGCGCTGGCCTATCATTCAGACAGCACCGAATATAAAACCCCACCTGGGCGACGAAGAACGGAGCATTACGATTCGATCGAGGCAATCGAGTTTTTCCCATTTCTCTACCGACAACAGGCTTGTGCAGTAATTGGACTGTGGGTTTTGCATGGAGAAAGCTGAGAAGACCTGGGCTTTTGTTTCACAAAATTGCAAACCTGAGACTTATCTTTAAAAAGTAGTGGAGCGTTGTGGAAAAAGCTGCTTGGTACCTCAGCCTATTCGTGAAAGGCCTTCTCTGTTACGTAATCAATAAAAAGAAATACGTCCGTTTAAATGCAGAAGTCTTTGGATGGCAACTAGACTATTACGGACTCTCAGCCAATTTAGTCTATGCCACATTTGATTATACTGACCATATCTCTAATGGAAAAGCTATGAATAGCTATTTTCAGCTCTCCTCTTATCTGTGAGGGCGTGACCGGAGAATTCATTTAACAGTTATGTGAATGCGAATGGGGTGAAATGATGAAATGTAATACTAGAAGACGTTTTGCATCGCGGGGAAGATTGAGATGTGAGGAGAGTGTGGAAAATACCAAGCAGGGATCTGTGGTGACTTTTTGGTCATCTTTTGATCCTCATTTGGACAAAACAAATCAGGCTGCCGGAGGGTCAGTGGCTGAGCAGATGTTAAGGTAAACGTGTGGGGTCACTCACTTGATGACTGTGCCTTTGGCGCCCCCTGCAGTGGTCAGCATGACCCTGGTGGTGAGGCTGACTCTCAGGTCGTCCTGGTCCAGGCCCAGGAGTTCGGCACAGTATTCAAGAGTCTGACTGGTCTGGTTCTTCAAAATGCAGCCACCTGAGACCAGATGAAAATTTTTAATGCTCATCTTTAAACTGTGGCTCATCACGTTTCTTATGCTGCGTCTAGACAGCAGAGCTTTATAAACGTTTCAATGTACATTTAGAATTTAGAAATTAGTATTTTGAAAAAAGTTTGTGTGTGTGTGTGTGTATATATAAACCCTCTATGACGTTGATTTTTTTTTATTTATATGGTCTCAATAATATGGATTTCAGGTTTTAAAAATATTTATAATATTTAATATAAAACTTTCACGGTTTTCCCCCCCTAAATAAAATATTATTCTTCTACACATAATAAAAGATTATGCCAAACTACTTAAAAAGATTTCCTTTACAGGAATTTCATTATTTTAATGAGGCTTTTTTCTTCATATCAGTACAGTTGTATCACTATCATTTTTTTCATTTTCATTCAAAATCAAAAATAATTTTAATTCATATATTAAAAACATGTTCCTAATAGATTAAAATAGATACAAAAAAAAGAAAAAGTTGTGCCTTTGACTCATCAGTGTTGTCTAAGAGCTATAAGTGTGTAAACAAATCTATAAAAGCACACTCCTGCTCTCTTCTATCATATCTCAGCCCTTTTCAAAAACATGTGCTCATACACAATAGTCTTCAGGTCTCCTGTAAGACCTCTATAACATCAGGTTCCGTCTTTTACAGCTAAAAAGTATCTCATTGTGAGCAGAGAAATGGAGCAGGCCAGAGCGTTAAAAGGTGTTGTACCTTCATCAGAAGAGGAAAACAAATCCTGGATGCATGTCTGGCAACATTAGAAAGAGCCCTGTTATCCCCACAGCAGCTCTCTAATGAGGTCTTTTGAGTTGGAGGAGGGATGGGTGTGGTGTGTGTGTATGAGTGTGAGTGTGAGGGAGTTTAATGAAGAGAACATGAGCATGAGCTCGGAAAATAATAAAATAACACTTCAGACATCAGTGAAAATTTCTTCCCTGACTGAACGCAGATGGTGCAAATTCTGTATAAAAGCAAAATTGGTCATATTTTGAAGTCTCTTAACCTGATAGAAACCAAATACTTCTAAACCAAGCATGACATGACAAAGCAACAAGCAATAAACCCCATCTCTTTTTTGTCCTAACCAGCATAATTGCAAACGACACAAGACATTTTATCAGCTGTTTGGTTTCTAGTTCTGCTTTATTGCAATAGATATAGAGTGAGATCTCACTGGTTGCATATGAAGCATCAAATATGTGCTGATTGGAAATTTTGTCACTTAATGCAGGATACAAAATTACTTTATGCTTGAAACTTGTCACATCATGCTGGGTTAGGACATTAAATCTATTTTTCTACAGATGCTATATGAATGGCTACCAGAGGTGCTTCCTGTCTCCTCAAAGTCGATATTGCCGAGATGAAGGACACCAGACACCACTCTGAAGAGATTGAGCTTCTCTGTGTCATCCAGGCCGATTTTCTTCATGGCCACCACCATCCTGTTGAAGTCTCCCAGGTCATCCAGCAGAGGGTCCTTCAGGGCACCCACCTTCCCGTGCTAGAGACACAACGGACCATCAAGACACACGGTACCAGAATCAACACTATCCATACGTCACACACACTGCAAGTGCCTGAGAAGGAAATGCAGTGGCACAGCAGCTGTAATCAGAGATCAGAAAGGGCTGTATACAGATCTAGATCTCTGATTGAAGGAAGGAGGAAAAGAAAAGAAAAGAAAACAAACCACACCTGAGGGTCAGTGTGCCAGCACTTCCTTTTTGACTCTCTCTTACAGTCGTATTCAAAAAATATATATAATTCTGTCATCAATTAATCCCACTTTGTCCAAAACTTGAATGATTTTCTGTTTGAGGAAAGCTTTATGCTGCTGTTGCATTGAAAAGAGCAACATAAACATTCTTCATAATATCTCTTTTTGTGTTTGAAGGATACAAGAGTGAGTAAATGATGACAGAATTTTTGTTTATTTTTGGGCAAACTATGCCTTTACGTCACTGATGTACTGATAATCTGCAGTCGGATGACAAAGCAGATCACACCACTCTGACCACAATAGAGCTTAAACGCTGTTTAATACCCATAACTACAAGCACCCCTTACAAAAATACTTTTTTCACACAGAAAGCCTCATGCATATTAGCTTGCAGACCCATGCACATACTAATAACTAATTTCATGCACAGAAACCCAGAAAGTTGAAGAACGTAAAGCATGAAAAGCGTTTAGAAAGGCCAACTGGTAAAACATCACCTTATGATCCTGAATTTTAAAAAGATCAGAGAAGGCAAAGACACATAATATTCAGTTAGAAAACTACTAAAATAAACAAAATGGCTAGAAAAGTAGTGCTCTGTTTCAAAGCATACATAGGTAGGATTTCAATGACAAAACCTTAAAATAACCTAAAACATAAAAAAAAAGTAAGATTACACTGTATTTCTTAAGTTGTTTGTGATTACTTTAATAAATTTCTACTTTTTTCTGTAAATAAGAAAATGAGCAGCTTTGTCATTATGGAATACAGTAGATAAGAAAAATATCTTGGGGGCCTTTGAATATAGTCTTTGAGAAGGGGAGGTTTGAAATCAAAAGGGTTGAGAAACACTGGGCACTTTAAAAACATAGTATTGGCCAAATTCTAAGGCAGCCTTGCATATATATTTTGTTCAGTTGGCAATCCCAGAATGCACTGAGTTCAATTCAAGATGGCTAATTGGAACAAAATCATAAATACACTGAAATCTTTTTCAATTCTCAATAGTATCTCTAAAAAAATTTACAGTAACACTTTCTATGAAGCCCGTATTTATAATAAATTATAAGGGTATTCTTAAGGCTGCTGAGAAGAGACCCCCCCCACATGATTGTAAAGCGCTTTGGGTGTACAAAAATACACAATAAAGTGCTATATAAATGCATCATTCATTCATTCATTCATTCAATGAATAATGCATTATAAAAAATAAAAAAACGTATCATCTCATAAATAATCATAACAACAGTATTAATGTATTATAATACTTACTTATTTGTGGTTATAGCTTTTAAGAGTATGATGATTTATAACACACAATGAACAAGTTGCATCCAGTTAAGTTACAATGAATTATATTCCCCATAGTTATAATGTATTATAAGTCTCATAACTTACCATTGCTTAAGATCTGCACAATAACTTAGTACATCTTTTTTTTTTTTTATTATTAGTGGTTTTTACTGTAAAATGATAAATACAAAGTCTTCATGAAAACATCCAAAAGGCTTTATAATGTGGTCTTATAATTTATAAGTGGTCTTTGTGTTAGTGGTCTTTGAGTTAGACCACTTATAAATAATAAGAAAAATAATATTTGTTTCTCAAACAGCCATAAAATCAGATATCAGATCAGATGAATGTGTTCACATTTGCATTGAACTAATTTTATTGTAATAATAATCAGTATGGTTATTTTGATGGTACCCTTTAGACAACTGTTGATAAGTAACTTTGCAAGTCAACTAGCAGTCATTGGAGTATTAGTAGTATGTCTGCTAAATATCTGCTAACACTTTATTTTGATGGTTCCCCAACAGACATTCAACTCTTTAAGTACGTCGACTTATTCTACCAACCATAACCTTAACCTAAGTCTATTAATGCTCTAAATGAGAGTTAGTTGGCATGTAGTTGCGAAGTTGCTTATAGTCAATAGACTAAGGGGACCATCAAAATAAAATGTAATGTAATATTAAAAAAAATCTACATTTGCTTTGAACTATTTTTATTGTAATATCAGTTTGATTATTTTGATGGTACCCTTTAGACATCTGTTGATAAGTAACTCTGCAGCCAACTACATGTCAACTAGCAGTCATTGGAGTATTAGTAGTATGTCTGCTAAATATCTGCTAACACTTTATTTTGATGGTTCCCCAACAGACATTCAACTGACTATTAGCAACTTTGCAAGTACGTCAACTTATTCTATCAACCCTAACCTTAACCTAAGTCTACTAATACTCTAATGAGAGTTAGTTGACATGGAGTTGCAAAGTTGCTTATAGTCAATAGACTAAGGGGACCATCAAAATAAAATGTAATCTAATAATAAAAAAAATCTGAAGGTATTACAACTGATCTTAAACTGCAGGTGCATCTCAATAAATTAGAATGTCGTGGAAAAGTTGTTGAATTACTGAAATAAATTAACTTTTCCACGACATTCTAATTTATTGAGATGCACCTGTAGCTAACAGCTAAATTAACATTAACCTCACAGGAAACCCTCAAAAACACTCAACCACTCCTAACCACTCACAATATGTAGTAAGATACTGTGCAGATCTTAAATAAACAATGTCACGATATGAGATAATCCATTATAAATGAAGTGGATTTAATATGGTATTAATTGTGTGTTATAAATAATCATACTCTTAAAAGTTATAAGCACAAATGCGCAAGTATTACAATGTATTATAATTGTTGTTATGATTATTCATGAGATGATACAACATATTATAAGTGTTTTTATAATGCATGTTGTATTCATTATAATGCCTTAGGAATACCCTTATAATGTATTATAAATATGGGTTTCATAGAAAGTGTTACCAAATTTACTAGGCTATTTTACACAATTTTTGTGTGTGCTTTGTATTTTAATGCTTATTGGAGTATGATGCTGTTAGCTTAGCAGCATGCTAATCTAACTCTAAGTCGGACGCCACACATTAAACCCCATTTTCGGGGACTAAACCCTCTATCAGATGCCAAAAGCAAAGAATAAATGGTGCTAAAATACACTCACGGTGTGCTGTAATACTACAGAAAAATCATGTACTAACCAAAATCTCAGATGGCCATACAGTGATTCATCTTTTATGAATCGTTAAAATATTGGTGGCTGGGACACCGTGACTTTTTAAAAGCTTAGCTTAAATTTGAATATAAATATACAGTTCTCATAAAAGGCTGTAGAGATAGTATTCTCCATTGAAAGAGTAGAGAATTGGACCCATGAATATTAAGTATTCATTATTTCACGACTTAGATTGGAATAAGATTTGAAACTGGATAGATTAAAAACTGTCAGTTAAGTCAATTTGAGTTCTGTTTGTATGGCGCAGACTTCCTGCCTTTGTAGAGAGTTCCAAGTCAGTCACTTATAAGGCTCCTTGGTTAGGATTCATTCCTAAAAGGCTGTTGCCTATATAAGCACTAGACTGCTCACTAGGTTTTGGACCAGAGCCTGAGCGAAGATAAATCTCAGTTGATTCAGAATTAAAAATGGATTGCATAAATATCCTAATACCAACCCAAACTCATTATGATATTCAAGTGTTCAAGGATGATTAAAAAAAATTGAGAAAATAACAACAAAAGTACCATCTGCGAATATGGGGTAAGAAACTAATCTCAGATCTTCATCTGAAAATGTAGTGAAACAGACGGTGTTGAGCTAGCAAATGAACTACTGCACCAACAGAAACAGCAGCTAATGAATATCTCACCACCTCCAGAGGGATTCAACACAACGATGATTTATAATAATGGCCCTTGATAACAATAACATCAATTGATGGGCTTGGTCTCCAGAGAGGGCTGTGTGCAAACACAACACAACAACGCTGGAATTTATTACACTTTACATAATTCATCAAAGACATGAACTAATTTTCGAGGGTAACTAATTCAATTTGAGGCAAAACAGTGATCCTGCAAATGCAGAGATTCTGGCTGCGGTCAAGGTCTGTTCATTCAGCATGTCCTCTAGTCTTAATTGTACTACACAAACAAAAAAAACGCAAGGATTTGATCATACATCAAAAACAATTCTGAAATCTTAACTACAGCTTAGCTTAGGGCTGTTTATTACGTCAAATTTGCCACAAATGTGTATCAGAATGCAGGAAGGAGGACACGGACTCATCAAGTTACTGACCCAGAGATTCCCAAACACAGATGATTCTACGTACCTCAGGACTTTTCCTGTTTTGCATGATCTGTTTATCTGAATCCTTGTTTGCAAAGTATCGGGTGCAGCCACGATTCAAATACTGAGTGAAACACAAACACACAGTGAGGGAAGTTAATATATCAGACCAAAACATACATTCCTAATCATTGTAAAGCAAATATGCCATCTAGTGGTACATCTCCATTTTCATGGTCTCACGTATTTAATGTTTACTGTATATAAGGCCTGGAAATCACATATTGGATTTTATTTGATGTGTTCAAATGACACTTCCTGCAGTTGTGTGCTTTGATACAGTCTGTTTGCTATGGTCACAGTTGTCAGATTGCTTTCATTGCACCAATTATAACACAAAGTCTCAAGGTTTCCTGTTGAACAGAGTGTCTAAGCTTGGTAAAATGCTTTCCAGATTCCTGACACACACAATACACAGGAAACTGACCCGGAAGTTGTCCGGAGAGTTGAGATGAAGCATGTTCCTGATGTCCTCGGATGCCCCTGCGCAAAGTCTGTAAAATATATGATAGTTTCGCTCTTCTGCACTCTGCATGCAAATCCGAGACTTCTCCAGCAGATAGTGCGAGACAAATCCGCCCACAACTGCATTCTGAAGACACAATGAACGCAATTAGTAACCAAGTCTTACAGTGATCACACTCTAGCCTTCAGAGTAAGAGAAAGTTTACCTTCTCATTAAAGTGAATTTCCACAAACTTTCCAAACCGGCTGCTGTTGTTGTTCCTGACAGTCTTTGCATTTCCAAAAGCTTCAAGCAAGGGGTTGGCTGCACGGAACAGACACATTATTTAAAAACAGATTTTGCATCATATGCAAAAAGCAGACATTACTGCACTAGACACAACCAGTTCAAAGTGTCTTTGGAGAACCTACCCTCAACAATCCTCTCATCTATATCTTGACATGTTCCATAAGATGTGGTTAAATACCTGAAATTAAGCAGATCACGACATGGTGAAAATGACAAAACTTGTTCAATAAAACACAAAACATATTTACTTACCAGTAACATTACTGAGCACTGCAACATGCTACCATTCAAACGTTTTGGGTCAGTGAGACTTTTCAATGCTTTTGAAAGAAGTCTCAACAAGGCTGCATTTCAGTGTCACATGATCCTTCAGAAATCATTCTAATATGCTGATTTGCTGCTCAAGAAACATTTCTTATTATTATCATTGTTAAAATAGTTGCGTGTAATAATTTATCTGAAACAGAAATCTTCTTTAACATTATAAACATCTTTATTGGTCACTTTTGACCGATTTAATGAACCCTTGCTGTATAAAAGTATTCATTTCTGACCCCAAAATTTGCATGGTAGTGTAACACTATTACATCACTGGAAAAAGTTTATTCAGGCTCCCTGAATAATCCTCATATCAAGTCACAAAAATGAAAACCACAATGGGTTTTCATGTTTTTGAACAGTTCCATAGGCACGCCATAATATTTTTTTATAATTATAATTTTTATTAAAAAATATATTTTTATGTCTAAAAAGAAATATTGTCCTAACTTCACCACTACTGCCAGGTATGGCAAAAACGTGGACCCTGTATGCATGTGAGAAATATTAATTGAAGTGTTTTCGTCATTCAATAAAAATACTAACAGTTATCATACCTGAGAACAAACTTAGTGTTTTCTGTTTTTCCAGCACCCGATTCACCGGACACAATGATGGACTGACTCATCTTCAGAACCCTCATGTCTCTGTAGGATTTATCCGCTGAGACAGAGACATACGTTTCTTAAAATCACTGTCAACACTGTAGCCATCTAAAAAAAGATTACTACAAAAGAAAGACTTAGAACTGAATCCTCAAGTGTCCTATTAGACAGACGTTCAAATGCCCACTCACCAATAGCATAGACATGAGGGGGAAGTGTCCCCAAAGAGCGTCCCTGATAGCTCTTAATGGTCTCTGGGGAGTAGAGTTTAGGGATGTCGAAATACGGGTTCACAGCAATCAGGATGTTAGCCACAGACGTCTGAAATAAAATACACACATGGTCAGAGAACATTTAAAATGTTCATTGTTATGCGTGTGATTTTGTATTTGCAGTCTTCCATATTTTGGACAAACAGATCAATGGCTGAAGTCCCAACAATTGTTGATGTTTTAACCAGTCATTCAAAGCATCATACTTTCAGGTTAGCTGCGCCGTGTGGAGCGTCACTACCTCACAGGACCTAATTAAGTGCATTGGGCAACTTGATAGCGTCTGAGCAGGATTAGCTGGGTCATCTGAGACGTGAATCATGCTAGCTGGGTCATCTCCTGACAGGCTCGGGCACTGTGCTGAAGAGCGTACACTGACAGTGGGACCGCCGTCTCTCAGGTGAGAGGCTAATAAGGGCTACTGGAGCACGACAATAACATGCCCATCAGCTCCGTACCTGCAAGCATGCCTGCCAATGAGATCTACGCCCTACACTGCCCTGAGGTGATTGTTAAGCAAAATATTTGAATATATCATGCTTTTTTTTTTAAGATTTAATGACCCAAATCTGTTAAAAATGTTAAGTGCAGTTTCATTAAAAGAGGCTTTAATTCATCAGATAATCAATTTGTTATACACATTTAGGTTATGGGTGTAATTTAAAATGCTTAGCTTAAAGGGGTCATATGATGCAATTTAAATTTTTCCTTTCTCTTGGGAGTAGGGATATGCCGGTATCAATTTTTCATGTTGCGATTAATTGCTAATGCTTTTATCACGGTATGCGGTATTATCGCGGTATTTACATTTAGGTTTTGTTTTTTTTTAAAGTGCCGTCATAATACAGTATAACAGGTTTAATAACTTTTTTCTTATAACAAAAATAACTGAACATTTAAATGCAATAAAGCAATACAGAAAAATGTATAAAGTTAAAAGTTTTACACAGATTAAAGTGCAAAAGAACTATAAAGACCAATAGGTATCACTTTACAATAAGACCTCATTAGTTAACCTTAGTTAATGCATTAACATTCACAATGAGCAATAGCTACATTTGCTACAGAAGTTATTAATCTTTGTTTAAAAAATACAAGTCTTAGTTCATGTTAGCTCATTAAATAACACCGTTGCAACTTTCGATTTTAACAACCTGTTATTAAACATTGGAATACCTAAGATTAATGAATGTTCAGAAGAATTTTTCATTGGCAGTTTATGTTAACTAATGAATTAAC